GGTCATACAGGGAGACATCGTCCTTGGCAGTGATCTGGAGGAATTGGTGGAGGTCATCTAACCAAACCTCAAACTTAATCGGGCAACCCTCAGCGTCAAAGGTGAGAACATAGGGAGTGGCCATAGTGGCAGTAGCAGTAGTAGGAACAGTAGCAGTAGTAGCAGTAGTACGGCAGGAACAGGAACAGGAGTTGATGCAGGTGGGTCACAGTAGGGCGGCGCGGCTCGGCCAGGGCGGCGCGGCTCGGTTCGGACGGCGCGGCTCGGTTCGGGCGGCGCGGCTCGGTTCGGGCGGCGCGGCTCGGTTCGGGCTGGGCTACGCGGCGGTGCGCGACAAGGGGCGTGCGCGAAGGCGGCTGTAGCGGGCGGGCCGTGGCTGTACGTGGGCCTGACTAGCGCGCGGTTGGTGGCCTAGAGGGGCGTCGCGGCGGCCTACGGGCGGGGCTGCGACGCTCAGGGCGGCGGTCAACGGGCGGCTAGGGGGCTGCTCGTGGGCGGCGCCAGTCGCGCGGGCGGCTAGGGGTCGGCGCGCGCTCAGAAAAAGGCCGAGCGCGGGCTGCTAGCGGGCTACGTGCGCTAAAAAAAAAAGGCCGCGCGCGGCACTTGTGAGCAGCGCACGGGCAGCAGGAGGAAGAGAGGCGCACGAGGGCGCACTAGGAGAGAGGCGCTCGAGGGCGCTAAATAGATACGGCGCTCGAGGGCGCTTCTAGCGGTGGGCCCTTAGGTAAGCGGTCCTAGGACTAGGACCTAAGCTCTTAATACCATGTCAGAAACAAGAAGTGTTGAACTAGAAAGATGTTGGAGTACAAGTAGGAGACCCTGAAGATGTGTACCCCCTAAAGGCTAACCCACTATAGCCTACACAACAGAAATATATATAATGTTTGACAATACACACACACACAGACACACACACACATACACACACGCACCCACGCATACACACACATACATACACACACAAAAAACATACGCGATCATTGTTGTACGTTTTACAATCTGATGATCCTTAATAGGATCACTCGATTGATCTCCTTGAATGTAGCAGTGGAAGAGAGGTGATTGGTACGAACCCTACTAGTAGAAGGTGATTTGAATTTAGACAGAGGTATCTATAACAGTGATGATAAGAAACGAGGAATGGATGCATTGAGCAGAATGAGGAGTACAAGTAGTAAACCCTAAAGTGTTGTACCCCATATGAACTGCCCCACTACAGCCTACACAGACTATAGCATATATGCCTGACACACCCCCATAGGCAAAGTGGGGGAGAACAAGGGGTCACAAGACCAGTCAAGCAAAGCAAAGCAAGCTCAGGGTGGATCACAACGTCACCACACAGTCCGAGCACAAGAGCAAGGCCACAAGGCCAGTTCACATGCAAGATCATATATATAAAGGTAAACAAGCAAGTGCTGGTATAAAAAGAGTACAGTACAAACAAGGTCAAGAAGTGAGCAAGTGAGGCCAAGTAGGCACAAGACCTAGCATAGCACAGAAGCGCTGATGATCACAAGGCGGAAGTGCCTTGGTAAAGATATCAGCAGTGTTGGCCTCAGAGGCCACGTAAGCATGGCGCAGCTGACCACGTTGCTGCAGCTCACGAGCAAGGAAGTAGCGAAAAGCAATGTGCTTTGTTCTGTGCTCCAGTCTGTGCTCCCGACACAAGGCCAGCATGGCCTTGTTGTCTACGTACAGAACTGGAGGAGAACGAGGCGGCTCTCCTAGGTCAGTCAGCAGGTAGGTGAGCCAGCGTAGCTCCTGTGCAGTCTTGGCCCCCGCGTAGATCTCAGCCTCACAGCTGGAGGTGAGAACAGAAGACGAGCGGGTAGACCGCCACGAAACAGAGCCGGAGCCAAGGCTGAAGGTGTAACCCTGTGACGACCGCTGTGTCGGCTGGTCGTCAGCCCAAGAAGCGTCTGCGTGACCTGTGAGAACCACTCCACGTCGCCCTCCAAGCACTAGCCCCATGCCCGACGTACTGCACACGTAGCGCAACACCCTCTTCGCTGCAGCCATGTGCTCTGGTCGGTGTCTCCCAGGAGCAACATAGCGTGCCAAGATGCTAAGAGGGTATGCAAGGTCAGGTCGTGTACAGGTCATCAGGTACATGAGGCAGCCAACAAGCTCTGGGTACGGGCCACTCGGCTCTACGGACTCATCCGAAGGCAGAGCTGAGAGCGAGTGGCGAGTAGACAGAGGAGTGGCCTGAGGCGAGGAGTACGTGAAGCCGAAGCGCTGAAGGACCTGCTGCACCATGTGTGACTGAGTCAGGGTAATGGTGCGCTGTGCTCTGTCCCGGGTGATCTGCAAGCCAAGGTAGCTGCGCAGTTCACCCAAGTCTGTGCACGTGTGTCTCTTCTGCAGCTCGGACTTCACGTGGGCGAGTCCAGCAGTGTCAGCAGCGGCAAAGACCAAGTCGTCGACGTACACGAGGATGTAGAACGGCGGCAAAGAGGTGTCGGTGCGCAAAAACAGCGACGGGTCGGCTGTAGAAGGAGCAAACCCAAGAGCCGCAAGTGTAGTCCTCAGTGTGTCGTGCCACTCACGGGGCGCCTGGCGGAGACCGTAGACTGGCCGCCTGAGGCTCCACTGGGTACCAGGAGGAAACGACCCAGTGAAGCCAGGTGGGCGGCGCAGCTAGATCTCCTCGTGCAGGCTGCCCTGCAGGAAAGCTGTGCTGAAGTCAAGAGAGTGAAGCTCGTAGTCGCGCTGAGAGGCTATGTGCAGCAGCACCCGAAGAGTGGTCATCTTCAGGGTGGGAGAGAAGGTCTGGAAGTAGTCATCTCCCTCCCGCTGACTGAAGCCTCGAGCCACGTAACGCGCCTTGAAGACAGGCGGAGAACCCGGCGGCCACTTCACCCTGAAAATATACATGCCACTGACGATGTGCACCCCAGGCGGGGGAACCTCGTCGACGTAGGTGCCTGTGGACTTCCAGGAAGCCATCTCTGCATCCATGGCTGACTGCCACTGAGAGGAGTAGGGACCCTCGATCGCCTCAGCGTACGATCGAGGAGTCGGGATGTCTGGTGCATCCGGGTCTCCCTCAGGGGCAATCAGCGTGGACACGAGATGAGGCAAAGCAGCAGCAAAACACTGGAACTCCTCCTGCCTGTCCTCAAGGACGTACGTGCTAAGAGCACACCCACCCTCGACGGACGGAGGACAGACAGACTCGGACTCAGCAACAAGACTAGTGGCGTAGTCTAGACGACAGCGAGCAGCGAAGTCGACAAGCTCAGCCACTAAGGCGACGCAGCAGTGGACTCAAAGGAAGGGTCAGTGACAACAGTGGCCAGGAGACGCGTGACAGTAGGACTGGCAGCACGAAGAGAGCCAGACTCAGGGTCAGGAAGGACAGGAAGAGAGGACTCTGGAGGAGACGGCAACGGGACACGCAAAGGAGCAGTGGAAGGATGCAGTGCCATCTGGTGTGTGTCTGGAACCGCAGGAGGACGCGGAACACGACGACTAGTGCGAGCAGTGCGAATAGGCGACGCAGGACGAGACGCAGGCTCACTACGCTCGGCAAGACCTCCAGTAGGACCACTGTAGGGAGAACGAGCAGGAAGAGGGGAGGCGGGCTGTAACTGTGACTGCGACTGGACGGGCAGTGGACACTCTAAGGGAGGAGCAGGACCAGTAGAGGGCGGGAGACCAAGATGTAGAATTCCACTTCTATAGCAGCTTGATAGAGCTCAGAAGCACGATTCCAGCGCACCAAAGAGTGCAGGAAACGGTCCACTATAGCCAGAGATACACACAAACATAGCAGTGATAATGACTTGATTGATTTCTGGTTTGTGCTCTTTGGTTTTATACAAGGACGCAATACAAAATAAAAGCACCCAAGATAGTGTTGACCCGGGTCGCACGTTGAATTTCGTGGACGCGAAATTCGGAGCCTTGAATTTCGCCGAGCAAATTCCATTGACTGGAATTCCGTAGACGAGAATTTCCGCGACAAGAATTCCGTCGACCACCGACTTCAACTCCCGTGCGAATTCTGTTGACTTCGACACTTCGCTGCCGAGTTTCAAACCGAACGCGACCCGAGATCGATTTCGCCAAACTGTCCCCAATCTGTCCCCAAACTGTCCCCAATCTGTCCTGACAAGACACTTTCGGGACACTTGAATCGAAAGGTCTCCAGTTCGAAACTCGTGTGCACCATAACCAGCGCCTTAGCAGAAACTGTCCTGAATCTGTCCTGAGACACTTTCAGGACAGATTTGAAGGTCACGAGTACGAATCCCAGCGCAGACATTTTGTTGCTCATGGCAGCATTTCCTTCTAACACGCCCCCTTGCTGTTAGGAGCACGCTGGACTAGCCCGGCTGCTGCACAGCATCGGTTGAAGGCTGCCTTCTCGAGCCGCTTCGTGAAGAAGTCCGCGGGCTGCGCCGTTGTAGGGATGTGCTGCACCTCCAACTTCCTCATGCGCACCATATCCTGTAGCCACATGTGGCGACGGTCCACATGCTTCATGTGCCCCTGCAGCCCGCCCGCCTGGCTGAGCTGCACCGCTGACATGTTGTCGACGTACAGGGTGGTGGGGACACCCTTCTTGAGCAGTTGAAACTCCCACAGCAGGAACCTTAGCTTGCGCCCCTCCTTTCCCGCTTCCACTGCAGCCACAAGCTCGCTCTCGGTGGAGGAAAGTTTGGTTGCACCCTGTAGCTTCTTGGCCTGCCATGAAACGGCAGCTCCGCCAAGCTTGAAGAGGTAGCCTCCCGTGGACGACCGGTTCTCCTTGTCGCCTGCATCATCTGCATCTGCATACCCTACGAGAGTCAAACTCTCTGGTCCTCCCTTGAACAGCAGCCCCTTGTCCGGCGAGGCAGCCCAGTAGGAGAGTGTGCGGAAGAGCTCATGCCAATGCGCATCGGTCCTGAGGTGTGCACCTGCTGCAAGGCGACTACATGCAAAAGAGAGGTCAGGACGGGTTGAGATGGCTGCAAACTGCACCATGCCGAGAATTGACAAGTACTCGGTCATGGTACGATTGGCAAACTGGCCGGCATCCTGCTTAGCAAAGCTGGCAGAGGAGAGAGGAGTGATAGGCTGCTTCTTTGGTGGCGCCCCCTTGAAGAAATGCTGCTGCACCTTCGCCACATACGCATCCTGGTGCAGGAAGAGTGTCCTGTTGGAACGATCTCGCTCAATCTGCAGTCCCAGGTAGCGCTCCACTGGCTCCACCTCACGGAGCTGAAACGCCTTGGCTAGCAGCCCCTTCAGGTCCTGCAGAAGCTGCTGGTCTTCACTTGCCGCAAGCAGGTCATCCACGTAGATTAGCAGCCACACGCGCTTCCCGCTTTCCCCATCCTTGTAGTATAGGGCCTGGTCCACAAGGCTCTTCTTGTACCCCTCCACAAGGAGCACCTTGTCCAGCTCCTTGTACCACAGAAGGGGACTCTGCTTTAGCCCGTAAAGGCTTTTCTGCAGGAGGCACACCTTGCTGCTATCGTCGGTGAAGTAAGGCGGCTGCTGCATGTAGATATCGTGGTCGATGGTGCCGTGAAGAAATGCATTCTTCACATCAAGCTGCAGCAAATCCAGGTCCATAGCTGCTGCGATTGAGAGGAGCACGCAAACGGTGGTGTAGCTGCCAACAGGAGCGTAAGTGTCGTCGTAGTCGATGCCGAATCGCTGGCTAAAGCCCTTAGCCACTAGCCTGGCCTTGTACTTCTCCACGGTGCCATCAGGCCGCAGCTTCTTCTTCAGCAGCCACTTGACGCCGACGGTTTTGCGACCTTCAGGTAGGTCAGCCAACGTCCAAGTGCCTTGCTCATCAAGGCTCTCCATCTCCTCCTTCATAGCAGCCCACCATTCCTTGCCTTCAGGTCCGGTCAACGCAGCTGCTAGGTCGAGGATGACACCTCCCCAAGCGCCTTCCTCCTCATCCTCGTCCGGGTATTCCACGTCGTCATCGCTGCCCGTGTCGCACTCGTCCTCAGCAAGGTATGCCACGTCGTACGGGTTGTCCTCATCATCCGCATCCAGGGCCGTCATGGCTGATGGCTGAAACCGTACGGGTGGCACCCCCTTGTTAGGCCTGCTGGAGCGACGTGGGGGTGGTGGAATGGGCTGGAAGGGGGGAACTGCAGGTGAAGGCTCATGCTCATGGGCCATAGGTGACTGCTCATCCACTGCTACTTCTTCTTCTTCCTCCTCCTCGTGATCAGCCTTGCTGGTGTCAACCTCCAGAGGACCATCCGCCGGTCCTACGGGCGCCAAATCAGCAACAGAGGGTGGACCAAGAGGAGGAGGTGCAGTAGGTGCCTTGCTGCCCAAAGGGCCCACCGGGCGTTCAAGGGGTTTCTTGCCCCCTTGTACAGACGGTACCGGGACCACGATGACGGTACGTGGTGGCAGCGGATTCTGCTCGGGGTCGTGGGGCTCAGGGAAGAGAGATGGGACTGAAGCAAAGGGTGGTGTGGGCTGGTCGTTCCCGTCACCCACGCGTGCACGCCACTTCTGCCACCGTTCAAGTGACATGTCCTCATAAAAACGTGCATCCCGGGTGATGACCATGCGCTTTGACTCAACATCCACCACACGCCATCCCTTACTTTCCATGCTCATGCCCAAATGAATGCCCCAACGAGTCTTGCTTGCAAGCTTCCCCTCACGCTCATGCTTAGGAACGAGGTACTGCACCATGCACCCGAACACACGGACCATGGATACATCGGGCTTGACTTTGAACACCACCAAATGAGGGGTCACACCATGGGGCAGGGTGGATTGGTGCACACGGTTTACCACCCACAAGAACTGCTGGAAAGTGAAGTGCCACCAGTGTGCTTTCACCCCCATGTGCCCCAACATCACACGCATGCCCTCGGTTACCGTACGGTTGCGACGTTCAGCCACACCGTTCTGCTGGGGGGTCGAGGGGCAGGAGAGTTGACGTAAAATTCCTCGTTGCTTCAGCAGCAACAGAAACTCATTCGACATAAACTCCCCTCCCCGGTCCGACCGCAACACCTTCAGCGTCATGCCGGTTTGGCGTTCAGCTTCGGGAAGCCATTCCTTGAAGGCAGCAAGCGCGTCGCTTTTCAGCTTCAACGTCTTCCCCCAGGTGTAACGTGAGGCGTGGTCGACAAAGAGAATGTAGTACCTGCTTCCATCCATGGCTAGGGTCTGAAATGGTCCGGACACGTCAGTATGGACCAGCCCAAGTACCTGCTCCTCTCGCTCGTCGTGCAGCGGAAATGATTCATGAGTGAGTTTGGCTTCATGGCAGGAGGTGCACGGCATATCCTCACCTCCTTTCTCCAGATCCATACCGAACACGCCACCGCTCGTGGCTGTCCGCTTCACCGCATCGAAGTGGACGTGTCCAAGGCGAGCGTGCCACAGGTTGGGCTTTGCCTTGGAGCCCACTGCGTACGTCTTGAGGCTGGCTGCTCCATCTTTAGCTTCCGGCTTGCTTGACGCCACATCAGCAATCTCCTTCGCCGTGCCGTTGCTTGCCGTTGCAGCCGCCGTGCCGTTGCACGCCGATGCAGCCCCTGTACCGTTGCTCGTCGCTCCACCCGCCATATCGGTGCATGCCGCTGCAGCTGCCATGCCGTTGCATGCCACTGCTGCCGTTGCACCGTTCCTTGCTGGCCCCGGTTTCAGGTCAAGGCAGTGAAGGCGATGGCGGTATCGTGCCGTTGCAGCCACTTAACCTCCTGATGCGATGATGCGAGTGACACCTTCCTCGGTTTGCAGCTTTGCTCCCTTGTCCAAGAGCTGCCCAGGGGAGACCAAGTTGGCCTTCATTCTTGGCACAAAGAGGACATCATATAGGGTCACACGCAAGCCGTTAGTGCCCTCCAGCAAAACCTCACCAACACCGGCAACTTCCTGCATAGAACCATCAAACCCTTTGACTGATTTCGTTGCAGATGGGTCACGGATCACCGTGAACCACTCCTTGCGGCCGGTCATGTGTTGAGAGCATCCTGAGTCAAGGAACCACAAGTCCTTGTCGTCGGCCAGCAACTTTGCAGCCGAACACGCGACGGTGAGCGCCACGCCCTTCCCGTCTCCTTCAGCTACGTTCGCGGCTGCTGCAGGCGTTGTATCTTTCTTCTTGTTGGGGCACTTGGCAGCCATGTGCCCCTCCTCATTGCAATTGTAGCAGCGCCCCTTGAAGGGGGCTCGCTTCTTCTTCCGCTTGCCATCCTTCTTCTTATCCGTCTGCTCCCTTCCCCCTTTTCCTTCCTTCCCGTTGACCCCCGTTGTAGCCACGATGGTGTTGACAGCGTCCGAGAAAGCAGATGCATCGCTGGTAATCTGCTTGTAACTCCGTTCGATGGAGAGAGTCTGCTCCTCCATCAACACCTCGCTGCACACGCGTTCCACCGTCATGTCAGGGCTGGAAATTTCAAGCTTGCGGCGAAGAAATCCGTACTCCGGTGGTAGGCCCTTCAGCACGTGGGCGGCAAACGTGGCCATGTGGACCTCCTGTCCAATGGTCAGCAGCTCCGCTCGGATGGTGCGGGCCCTATTGCAGTAGGATTCCGCTGTCACATCGTCTCCCTTCCTGAGTTGGGCTAACTGGGTCTGAAGTAGGGAAGCGTGGAGGGCATCACGAACTTGATAAGTAGATAAGACATATGCCCATGCTAGTTGTCCGGCTTTCTCTTGCTGAGAGAAACCAGAGATGGACATTCGGATGGGTGGAGAAACACATCGGTTCAGCACCATGAATGCAAGCATTTGGCCCTTTGCGTACTCCCTTCGTTGCAAGGGGTTGTTTGGGGCCGGGCTTGGTGCTGTCCCGTTGCAAAACTGCCACAAATCAGCATACTGGAGCTGAGGTCGGATGGCGCTGACCCACGCGGTAAGGTCGTGCCTTCCCTCCAGCAGCGGCGTCACCGAGATGTGCTCAACTCCAAACTTGAATTGGCCATAGCTCGTGGCGATCATTCCCGTGTCAATGGTCGGTGCAAGAGCTCCTCCACCAATGCCCACAGCACTAGGAGCCTCATGCACAGCTCCTCCTTCACCAGTTCCTCCTTGCTGGCTGCTCGCAGGTGCTTGCTCCGCCGCGCGCTCTCGAACCATGCGTAGTAGACGACCATCCACAATGAGGTCGACCTCCTCATCACGCAAGTGAGGGTGGTGCTCACGAACGGACGCCTCCAGCTCTTGACGGGCATTCAGACCCTCAGCGCTCGTTAACCACTCCATGCGCAGTCAAAACGAGCGTCGGCCACACCAACGTGGGAACGAAGTGATGGGAGGACAAAATCAAGCCGCTAGTTGGATCGACGCAGATAACGCAGCTCTGATACCATGTAGAATTCCACTACTATAGCAGCTTGATAGAGCTCAGAAGCACGATTCCAACGCACCAAAGAGTGCAGGAAACGGTCCACTATAGCCAGAGATACACACAAACATAGTAGTGATAATGACTTGGTTGATTTCTGGTTTGTGCTCTTTGGTTTTATACTAGGACGCAATACAAAATAAAAGCACCCAAGATAGTGTCGACCCGGGTCGCACGTTGAATTTCGAGGACGCGAAATTCGGAGCCTTGAATTTCGCCGAGCGAATTCCATTGACTGGAATTCCGTAGACGAGAATTTCCGCGACAAGAATTCCGTCGACCACCGACTGTAACTCCTGTGCGAATTCTGTTGACTTCGACACTTCGCTGCCGAGTTTCAAACCGAACGCGACCCGAGATCGATTTCGCCAAACTGTCCCCAATCTGTCCCCAAACTGTCCCCAATCTGTCCTGACAAGACACTTTCGGGACACTTGAATCGAAAGGTCTCCAGTTCGAAACTCGTGTGCACCATAACCAGCGCCTTAGCAGAAACTGTCCTAAATATGTCCTGAGACACTTTCAGGACAGATTTGAAGGTCACGAGTACGAATCCCAGCGCAGACATTTTGTTGCTCATGGCAGCATTTCCTTCTAACACAAGAACCTGTGCAAGGAGCGGAACGAAGTACGGCCTCGGCCGCATAGCGCCTCCAGAACCAGCAGGGACGGCACCAGTACCCCCAGCAGCAGCACCAGCGCCAACCGCACCTCCAGCTCCAACAGCGTCAGCTCCAGCACCCTCAGACACACCAGCGCCAGCAGAAACACCAGCGCCAACACCCCCAGTAGCTCCAGCTCCAGCAGCTCCAGTAGTACCAACTCCAGCAGGACCGGTAGCTCCAGCACCGCCAGCAGCTCCAGCAGGACCAACCCCAGCAGCTCCAGCAGCACACCCAGTCCCAGCAGCTCCAGTACCGCCAGTACGAACACCGCCGGAACCAGCACCAACAGTAGTGCCTCCAGCTCCAGCAGCACGACTCCAGCGCCAGGCAAGCCACTCGCGCAGCTCCTGCAAAGAGAGTGGCTCCCGCCTCGACGAAGCACCGCCGGCGGCCACACGAGCAGATCCAGCGCCCCCAGGCTCCACACCCCAAGGCTCAGCACCCCCGGGCTCCGCACCCCCAGACTCAGCACCCCCAGGCTCAGCACCCCTTGTCTCAGCACCCCCAGGCTCAGCACCCCCAGACTCAACACCCGCAGGCTCTGCACCTCCAGACCCGGCACCCGCAGGCTCAGCACCTCTAGCAGCACCAGAGTCAACAGCTACTTCGACAGGCTCGACTGCGTCTACCTGGGACACACCTGACGGGGCAGGACCCTGAGAGGGGAGGGGGTCTACCGGGGGAGGACCTGGCACAAGGAAGAGCGGCGGCGGGGGAAGGGGCGCAGCGCGGTAGGGGAAGAGACGGTAGTAAGGCACCGACTCGTCAAAGGTGACGTCCTAGGAGGACAGAACACGGCGCGAGGTGGGGTGGTAAAACTGCCACCCAGGCGCGTCAGGGGGGAAGCCGAGGAAGACGCAGGGAACAGCACGGGGGGACAGGTTGTCCGCAGACATGTCGCGGACAAACGCCCGAGATCCCCAGACCCGAAACGCAGACGCATCGCCAACCTTCCCCGTCCACCGCAAGGTGGGGGAGGTCTTTGGTCAAGAGACCCGGGGCAGAAGGTTGAGCTGATGCGCCGCGTACTGAACCGCAAACGGCCACAGAAAATGGGGGGCAGCCGCATGGATCATGGACGTACGAGCGACGTCCATGACCATGCCAATGCGGCGCTCAGCAATCCCATATTTCTGTGGAGAAGCCGGAAGCATGAAGGTCTGGCGGATGCCCTGTGCCCGACAGAAGGCTCCCAGACGGGCAGAGGAAAACTCCCCGCCTCTGTCCGAGTGCAGACGCAGAAGAGGAAAGTCCGAGCCGGAACTCTCTCTGAGCTGGAGACGAGCTGCGCGGATCCAGTCGATCAACACCTTAGTGACGTCACCCTTTCTGCGCAAGGGGAAGACTGTGGTGTAACGCGAGTAGTCGTCAACCACCAACAGGAAGTAACGCTCGTGTCCCTGTCCACGGACGCGGGCGGGGCCCCACACGTCCTTGTGGAGAGTCTGCAGCGGAGCCTCTGTCGGAAGAAACTTGGAGGAGTGAGGGGTGGCGCGATGTCGCCCCTTGGCGCGGGGGACGCAGGTAGGGGCAGGTCCCGAAGGTAGGGGAGGGAGAGACCGGGGGAGATCAGAGACAAGGACCAGGGAGGCCATGCCTCGGAGACAAGGCAGGGAGGGGTGACCAAGGCGGTGGTGCCAGAGGAGAGTCTGGTGGGACAAGAGACGACACGAGCAAGGAGCAGACTCAGGACTAGACCTGGACGCTGCAGCAAACACCTGACTCGACGTAGCTACCTGGCCAGACTCAGCAGCCAGAGGAGACTCAGTAATAAGGGTGTACAGGCTCGACCCTGGTCGACGGCTTAACGTGGCCAAGTGTCGGCCTATCCGAGCACACGTGCAGTGGGTCACCCGCTGACTCGCAGGAGTGAACTGGTCAACCCCCCTATCCTGTAGGTCCGCTCCACTCACCAAGTTCGTAGAGAACAAGGGGAGGTAGAGACCTGACAGGGTGCCAGAGGGGGCTGCCGGGCACAGTAAGACAGTGGAGAAGCGAGCAAGGACAAGACCCCCAGAGGGGTCCGCCAGGGAGACTGCAACCGGCCGACTGAGCGGCGTAAGAGTGGTGCGGTCTCGAAAGAAGGAGCGGGACGCACCCGAGTCAAGGGTGAAGGTGTGTAAGGCCTGAGCCGACGTAGTACCTGAGAGAGCAGACTCACAAGCACCTGGGGCAGCAGACGCACTAGCACCTGGGGCAGCAGACGCACTAGCACCTAGAGCAGCAGCCTCACCAGCACATAGAGCAGTGGTCTCAATGCCCGGGTCAGGCGGTACACACAGGTAACAGTCACCCTCAACACAAGTAGTCACAGAATACATGGCAGCAAGGATAGCATCATAGTCAAGGTCAAAGATGGCAACCCCCGCCCTAGACAGATCTCCCCAGCGAGGGATCTCTGATGCCTCACGGAACTGGCGACGCCACCCGTCCGTCAAGCGACCGAAGCAGCGCTGGGTGGAGTGCGGGCCCCCTCACTGCTCACCAGCTCAGTCGTCGGTACGAAGGACGTAAGTGCATGGACCAGTACCCCCACCGCGCTGACGCGCAGCGTACCACTCACGAAGCTGCTGAGGGGACAGAGTCACACCACTCCGCTGCTGCTGGCGCGGACCACCACTTGACCCACTCCTCTGCGCAGAGTCGCGACCCGCTCCACCACCGCCGCCGCCTCCGCCGCCTCCTCCACCTCCGCCTCCTCCACCACCTCCGCCGCCTCCGCTCCCTCCGCCACCACCGCCGCCTCCTCTGCCTCCACTGCTGCCGCCGCCGCCACCACCCCCGCCACCACTCCCACCAACACCCCCACCCCCTCCACTGCCTCCACCACTACCTCCACCGCCCCCGCCAGCCCCTCCAGCGCCCTTGCCCCCCTTGCCCTTGCCGGTGCGGCGTCTCCCGCTAGGGGCAGACGCAGCGCCGACCGACTCGAAACCAACGAGGTCGGCCGCAGCAGCAGAAGCAACAGAGGGCAAGAGGGGGGAGGGGGAACACCCCTCAAAGACAAAAGTGCGAGGGTCACCACGAGAGGCTCCTATAGTGACTATGCTCTTCTCTGCTGCTAGGAGGCCCTTCTCGAGGAGGTCAACGGTGAGAGTGGTGGGGCAAACTGAGAGGAAGTGGTCCCTGACTACGCGGAGAGAGTCAGGGAGCCGGGTGACTATGTAGTAGAGGGTGATGTACATGGGGGGGGGGGGGGTTCTTGGCGCAGAACTCAGCAGGAAGCGCAGCGCGGTAGCGACTGTCACTAGTGCGGAGGTGCGTAATGAGGTCAGCGACTGTGGGAAAGGCAGCAAGGTCAGGGAAGAGGTACGGTAGCATGAGGCGGCTCAGTGCAGCAGTGGCAGGGGAAGAGTAGCGTGCAACTACAGCGTCGTACAAGGTCTTAGCACTCTTGTACTGGCTAAAGTGCGCACGCTCAGTGGTCGGTAAGTGGCGATGCACAGCAAGGCGAGCAGCAGCATCGCGTGTGGCCCACTGTGAGCGAACAGTGCTGTTAGGAGTAGCAGGCGGGGCAGGGGAGGCACCAGAAGTGAGGTCGAACAGAGAGAGGCCGTCTGCCCTATCGCAGTGGAGGAACAGCTGGAGGTCATCGACCCAGACCTCAAAGTCAACGGCACGGCCCTCAGCATCAAAAGTAAGGACACTGGGGGTAGCCATGACTGCAGTGGCCTAGTAGGGAGTGAGCTCACCAGTAGGAACAGCAGCGGATCGACAGTAGGGCGGCTCGACGGCTCGGCGGCTTGGCGGCTGGGCGGCTCGGCTGCTGGGCGGCTCGGCGGCTCGGGTGGTGGGCGGCTCGGCTGCTCGGCTGCTGGGCGGCTCGGCTGCTGGGCGGCTGAGCTGCTCGGCAGGTGGGCGGCTCGGCTGCTGGGCGGCTCGGCTGGAGGGCGGCTCGGGTGCTGGGCGGCTCGGCGGCTCGGCGGCTCGGCAGCTGGGCGGCGCTGCTGCTGGGCGGCTCGGCTGCTGGGCTGCTTGGCGGCTCGGTCGCTGGGCGGCTGAGCGGTGACAGGGCCGGTAGAGGCAGCGACGTGGCCGCTAGGGGAGGGCGACGGGGCCGCAGGTGACGGCGACGGGGCCGCAGGTGGCGGCGAGGCTGCAGGTGGCGGCGAGGCCGCAGGTGGCGGCTGCGTGGCCGCAGGTGACAGCGACGGGGCCGCAGGTGGCGGCGAGGCCGCATGTGGCGGCTGCGT